CATTTTTGCAGGAAAAAGACATTAATATTGATCATGAAGATGTTTCAATTTGTTACACTCTGCCTAACAAAACAGACAAAAATAAACCAGCAATAGTTGTTAGATTCGTTAGTAGAAAATCAAGAAATGGTGTGATAATGCAAGCAAGAAATCTAAAAGGAACAAAAGTCTACATAAACGAACATCTAACAAAAAAGAATAGCAGTATTGCACGGGAAGCAAGGTTGTTAAAAAAAAACAAAAAAATTACAGCAACATGGACACGGAATGGAAATGTTTGGATAAAAGTAAAAGAAGGACAACAGGCTAAAATAATCAAAGAACTGAAGGAATTGGAAAAATATGGATAAACCAGAGATGAGATGGTAATAAATATTAGTCTAGTGAAAGAATATCTCTATCAATGATAGAGAATGAAGATTCAGAACCGAAAATATACAGTGTTGATGATGAGATTGATGCAGGTTTTTTTCCAATTACCAAGGATTGTGAATACTACAATGAAAAACAGTTTAATGATTTAAGTTTAACAAAGTCTGGTCTATCAATAATCCATTTCAATAGTAGGAGTTTGAATGCAAATATTTCTATGATAACTGACTACTTAAGACAATTAAATAGGACTTTTACAATATTAGCATTTTCAGAAACATGGTTAAATGATGAAAATATAAATAATGCCCATATTGATGGGTATGAATTATTTAATATGAATAGAATTAACAGGAAAGGTGGTGGTGTGGCTCTATTTGTAAATAATTCGGTAAAATGTAAATTAATTGATGAAATGTCAATTATTGATGATAACATAATTGAAATGGTAACAATAGAAATAAATAATAAAAATGATAAAAACATTATAATTAGTTGTGTATATCGACCACCTGATTCAAATATAGAATTGTTTACAGATAGAATCATAGAACTACTAGAAAAGAATTGCAATAAAACGATATTTTTATGTGGTGATTTTAATATCGATTTGGGGAATAATAGAGATTCTAATAATATCAGTACATTTATAGACTCCATGCATACTTTAAATCTTTACCCATTGATATCAAGACCAACAAGAATCACAACTCACAGTGCAACAATAATTGATAATATATTTACAAATACAATAAATGGGGATGTGACTAGTGGTATTTTGACGACAGATCTCAGTGATCACTTACCGGTTTTTACAATATATAATAAGTATCATAATATTATGAAAATAACTGCTAGTATGAAAAGAAAAATAAATACATCAAAAAAAGCTTTAGACAAATTAAAAGATGATCTTGTTAAACAAAATTGGGAAAGTGTGTATGTTAAAGATGTAAACAAATCATACGATATGTTTATGGATATTTTGGAAACTTTATATGAAAAGAATTGTGTACAAAAAAACTATACCAAAAAGAATATTGTAGATCAACAATGGATGACTAAAGGATTGAGAAACGCATGTAAAAAGAAGAATTATTTGTACTCATGTTTTTTGAAATGTAGAACACAAGAGGCAGAAGATAGATACAAGAGGTACAAAAATAAATTAGTAGGGATTATAAGAAAACATAAGAAAGAATATTATAGTGATTTATTGAATAAAAGTGGTGGAAATATGAGGGCCACATGGAGAGTAGTGAATAGTGTTTTAAAAAAACATGTAGCAAAAACTGGTACCTCACAGAATTTTGTAATAAACAATGATGAAATCAATGATAAAAATGAAATTGTTAATAAATTTAATCAGTATTTTGTGAAGATTGGAACAAACCTTGCAGCTGAAATACCTAAAGTTGACAAAAATGTTAACTATTTAATTGAGGATTGTTTAAACAGTATGTTCCTTAATGGGACAAATAATGAAGAAATAATAAACATAGTTAATAAATTTGCAGATAAAAAATCCAAAGATTATATGGATATGACGTTTGTAAAGGACATAATAGGTCATGTAATTGAGCCATTTACATACATATGTAATTTGTCCTTTACAACAGGAGTATTTCCAGATCAAATGAAAGTGGCGAAGGTGGTTCCTCTTTTCAAAAGTGGTGATAAATGTTTATTCAATAATTACAGACCGATATCTTTGTTACCACAGTTTTCAAAAATATTGGAAAAACTATTTGTTAGTAGATTGGACAAATTTGTTGAAAAACATAATATTCTAACTGACAGTCAATATGGGTTCAGAGCAAATAATTCAACATCTATGGCTCTTATGGAATGAATTGAAAAAGTATCAACAGCTGTTGATCAAAAACAATACTGTGTTAATGTTTTTGTGGATTTAAAGAAAGCATTTGATACTGTTGACCACTCTGTACTCCTTGACAAGTTACATAGGTATGGTATTAGAGGAGTAGCGCTGCAGTGGGTATCTAGTTATTTGAGGGAAAGGACACAGTTTGTTCAGATGGATGATGTGAAATCTGATCACAGCACTATAACATGCGGAGTTCCTCAGGGATCGGTGTTGGGACCAAAATTGTTTATTTTGTATGTTAATGATTTGGTTAAGGTGTCTGGTCTCCTTAAATGTATTTTATTTGCTGATGATACCACATTTTTTAGTTTTGGTAAGAGTATTGAACAAACAGTGGAATTAATGATGACTGAACTTGATAAAGTTCAGTTTTGGTTTAAACTTAATAAATTAACATTAAATTTAGATAAAACCAATTATATGATTTTTAGTAATAAAAATAAATCTATTGATGTCTCATTTAAAATTGATGGCTCCGAAATTCATAGAGTCCATGAGGCGAAATTCTTGGGTGTCATAATTGATGACAAACTGTCCTGGAAACGACATCTAAGTTCTGTTAAAATGAAATTATCTAAATCTATTGCAATATTTTATAGAGTTAGGGATCTATTGAATGAAAAGGCACTTTATTTGTTATATAATACAATTATTGTTCCACATTTGATTTATTGTATTAGTATTTGGGGAAAGGCATGTAAATCAATTACAAAGCCTATTTTTGTTTTGCAGAAAAGAGTTTTAAGAATTATTACTAGAAAACATTATCGGCATCCATCAAGTATATTATTTTATAATACCAAATTGCTGAAGTTCTATGATTTGGTGGATTATAATATATTGTCAGTGATGTATAGAGCGCACAATAATGTTTTGCCTTCGAATATCCAGGTGTATATTGTTAAACGATTGAGTTGTTATAATCTTAAGGGAACAGACATGTTTGTGAAGCCCAAGTATAGAACTACTTGAAAAGGAAGGTCTACCATAATTCAAGGAGTTGGGTTATGGAATGAATTAGGAACTGATGTTAAAGAAGCTAAATCAATGCCTATATTCAAAAGAATGGTCAAGGATAAATTGTTGAAACAATATATTTGAAATGAGTTCAAACAGTAATTCATTGCGATTAAGGAAGTTAATGTGTTGTTTATCTCTTTTTTGTATTCAAAGGAAGTTGTTTGTTTAAATTGTTTATCATAAAATAAGGGGCAGATATGATAAGATTTTTTTCTTCATCTGCCACCTTTCATTTTATAATTTTATTTCTTTTGTTGTCTGTATGTTAATTGTTTTGTGTTTTTTTATTATTATAAAATGAATAAAATAAATAAATAAATAAATAAATAAATAAATATTTTACTACAGAGGCTTGAATATGATATTGGGATTACAGGAACAGCTCTAAAATGGTTTAAATCATATCTATCTGATAGATTCCAGTTTGTAAATGTAAATAATAAATCTTCATCATACACCAAAGTTAGTCATGGAGTTCCTCAGGGCTCAGTCCTTGGGCCAATACTCTTTACTTTATATATGCTTCCATTAGGTAAAGTTATTAAACAACATGGGATAAATTTTCATTGTTATGCTGATGATACACAGTTATATTTGTCCATTAAACCCAATGAATCCAATCAGCTACTTAGACTACCAGCATGTCTTAAAGACATAAAAACCTGGATGACCCTTAATTTTCTCCTGTTGAACAGACAAGACTGAGGTTTTGGTTTTTGGACCTGAGCACCTTAGGAATGAATGTTTCAGTCTTTCTCCCTCCTTAGATGCATTAATCTGTCCTCCAGCTCTAATGTTAAAAATCTTGGTGTTATTTTTGATCAGGACATGTCTTTTATCCCCCACATTAAAAACGTTACTAGAACCTCCTTCTTCCACCTGCGTAATATCACTAACATTAGAAACATCTGATCTAAAGATGATGCAGAAAAACTGGTCCATGCATTTGTCACGTCTAGACTGGACTATTGCAATGGTTTATTATCTGGGTGTCCAAATACTTCTTTAAAACGTCTTCAGTTGATCCAAAATGCTGCTGCCAGAGTCTTAACTGGAGTTACTGGGAGAGATCATCTCTCTCCAGTTTTAGCTTCTCTCCATTGGCTCCCTGTCAAATCCAGAATAGAATTCAAAATCTTACTTCTAACCTACAAATTGGGTTTTATGTATGTGAATGTTTCTGTAACGTGCCCTGAGACAACTTTGTTGTGATTTTGCGCTATAGAAATAAACTGAATTGAGTTGAATTGCCTTAATTCTCGTCTCTCCCACTCAATTTTGTCGCTCTAACTAGTTTTGTATCTTTGTTGCATTTCTGATGTCTAATCTTCACTAGTGACTTGCATAAATAAGTTTTTTGTTCTGTGTTAATGTTCTGTCACTTCTTTTTTGAAGATGTCATCTTTAATGTCTTCAGACTGAATATCACCCCTCAGATTTCAGTTGAACTGCTCTTCCTTTGACCCATCTGGAAAACCTTAGCTGGCCTTCTGGCAGAACGACTGGGGGTGGGGGGGTTAGGGTTAGGCTAGGGTTTTGTTTTAAAGCTGATTAATTTGTTCAGTGCTCTGATTGTGTGTTTATACATGGAATGTGTCTCATGCTGCATCAGCCAGAAAGTTTTATTTACAGCTCTTTAGACTGCACACATTCTTTCCCGTTAGAAATGTAAACTGAACATTTTAAAGACGTTCTCATGTCTGTGTGTCCATCGTTGTAGTCATCTGGAGGACAACCAGATCTGTGTTGTAGAGAGGGGAGCCTTCCAAGACCTTCGACTGCTCGAGAGGCTGTAAGTATCAGCTTTATGCATTATATTTTTGAATAAAACATGCATAGTGTCAATGCAAGTCAAGTAGCTAATGCAAAGAACATAACCTACAACACTGCTAATGTGCACACATACACACACAGTAGACAAAGAAAAAGACACATTTGACTTCTTGTGATTGTATTTAAATAAAAATAAATACATCCAGCATTCCCTTCTTGTCGCTGTCTGTGAGCAAAGAGATCCACTTTACTTCACACATTAGCCTGGAATCTACTTGCTCTGCCGTTGGTCGGCTGATGTTCATTTAAGGATTAGGTCCAATTAGTTTTCATTTAATCAAGTCAAATGTATTTGTATAGCACATTTAAAACAGGAACTGTTACCAAAGTGCATTAACAAAAGAGAGACATACATGGGGAGACTAAGCTGCAGCCACTTGAGCAGTGCCACCTTTTTAGATAAGGAAAATGACAATATGAGGAAAGGGGAGATCAGAAATTACCTCAGCACAAAAAGCAACATAAAGATACCGAAGACATATATATATATATATATATATATGCATAGGGGACAACAAAGGCAGTGAGTAGTCCAGAGACACTCCAGAAAGTTCCAAAGTTCTGATAAGGTGGTACAGTGTCTATCAGCGTCACAATTCCGATAAGGCCACAGATATGCGCAAGAAGATGGCAGTAACTGGTACCAGCACAGATAACAATATCCCAGTGTTCAAAACCAGGGTGTTGAGTGCATTTGCAACAAGATTTGCACCTAATGTCAACACTGACACTATCTGACTGAGAAACTGGGGAAGCCAGTTACGTGTCTTAAAATCGATTCATCTCAGAAAAGGTTTAGCTCGTTTCATGTCACTGCTGAATGTGCAGATGTGATGGACGTGTATGACCAGCAGCTGTGGCCAACTGGCATTTATTTTTGTTGTTTCTATGACGCACGCTAGTCCAGAAGAACCAATCTACTGGTGTGCATCAGCAGTGTTCGGTGTCTAACCCTACTGTGTCTGATGCTCTGCAGGAGAGCAGATGAATGCCGGAGTCAATATTAAATAATGAGCATTAATATTGTCTCTTACAATGCACGAGGACTACCTGTTGGGAACAAGGAAGCTGATAATTTGCGTCGCTTAACTGTAAATACACTCTTGGCAAACTGTAACTTATTGTGTGTTCAAGACTTTTTTTTTTTTTACCAAAGCAAGACTTGGAAGGACTTAATTCCCTTCATAAAGACTTCTATGGTGTGGGCAAATATACAACTGATTTGAGTGATGAAATAGTTTATGGTAGAATTCCTGGTGGTGGTGCAATTTTATAGCATAAAAAGTTTGATCAACTGGTCAAGATGGTCAGATTAAATGTTGACTGGGCTGTTGGAATTGAGTTTAGTGACGAGTTCAGAAAGTCATTATTCTTAATGTCTATAAACCTTATGAATGTCATAGGAATGAAGACAAATATCTTAATAGGTTATCTTATCTGTCATCCAGGAAAATGCTCCCACTTGTTTTTTAATTGTGGGTGACATTAATGCATATATTTCTGATATAAGTTCAATATTTGCAAATCACTTAATGCAATTCTGCCTTGATAATGGTCTGATTCTCTCCAGTAAGGTACTTTTACTTGATGACAGCTTCGCTTATGTTATTGAAGCATGGGGTACAACTTCATGACTGGATCACTGCATCAGTACAGCTGATACTCACCAGTCCATAGAATCGATGAGGATTAATTATGAGCTTTCTACTTCTGACCACATGCCTCTATTTTTATCTGTAAATATTGGTAATCTACCTGCTTTTCAGTCTGTTCACAATAGTCTGAGTGTTGGAAAACTAGACTGGTCTAATTTGACCAAGAAGGACCTGGTGGATATTTAGCCCAGTCTGATACCATGCTGAGTAATATTGAGCTACCAAGGGATGCTGTAGCATGTGATAATATCAACTGTAAAAACCCACAGCATGGTATAGAGCTGTGTAATTTGTATGAAAATATTGTGGAGTCTTTTTGTGTCTCTAGTATGGCATTGTATAAGACTAAGTTGCACAAAGCTAAAGCTGAACAAGGCTGGGATGAGCATGTGAAGGAGCTTCATGCTGAGGCTAGGCAGGCTTTCAAGGCTTGGGCTGAGGCAGGTAGACACAAGTATGGTCTTCTCTTTGAGTATAAGAAACGGGCAAATGCCAATTTTAAATATGCCTTACGTTTTATTCAAAGAAATGAAGACACAATGAAGTTAAATTTACTTGTAAGGAAAATGCAAAACTGCACACATGATTTCTGGAAGGAAATAAAGAAAATGAATAATTATAAAACATGTCTGCCAGTAGATATTGATGGTGTAAATGGAGTAGAGGAAATTACTCAGATGTGGTAGAAGCATTGTTATGAACTATTTAACTGTGTTAAAAGCCCCTCATTTATGGTGGACAGTATTAATAATGATGAAAACATGAAAGTTTCAGCTCAAGAAATGTATAATGCAGCCATGAGCTTAAAGAACAATAAGGCTTGTGGTATGGATGAAGTGTCTGCAGAACACGTAAACTTTTCAAGCAGAAAACTCTTTCTTTTGCTTGCTTTGTATTTGAATGGGTTTTTAGTCCATGGCATTTTTGCCTGACTCACTTTTAGCTGTTATATTAGTGCCTATTATAAAGGATAAATCTGGCTAAATAAATAGCAAGGATAAATAGCTATCGGCTCATAGCTTTAGCCAGTGTGCTATCCAAGGTCCTGGAGAGTACTTCTGATAACCAGTTTGGTTTTAAATCAAGCCATGGCACAGATATGTGTATTTTCGCTTTGAAAGACATCTTGGATTTGTATAATAGTCCCAATTCTACAATGTTTATGTGCTTTATTGATGCCTCAAAGTCTTTTGACCGGGTTAATCATGAATAGTTATTTTAAAAGTTATACAACAGAGGGGTTCTTGGATCTATAATTAGAATTCTGTCCTTTTGGTATGCTCATCAGTTAATGTACATAAGATGGGGTAATTGTGTGTCAGCTCCTTTTACAATAAGGAACAGGGTCAGACAGGGAAGCATTCGCTCTCCTCTTCTTTTTAATGTATGCTTGGATGATTTATCAAAGTGGCTACTAAACTGTGTGACAGGGTGTGGAACCATAATAACCATCTCATGGATGCAGATGATCTGATTATTTTTAGTCCTTGTAGTGCTGGTCTTCAGCAATTATTGAGGCTCTGCTCACATTCTGGTCAGCAGTATGACATTATCTACAATGCACTGAAAAGTAATATCATGATTATAAGAACCAGGGAGGATCAGAAGTTGGTACTTCCTGACTTCTCTTTATCTGGTGCTGCTGTTAAACACCTGGGACATTATGTAACTGATGGTCTGGCTGATGACATGGACATTTACAGCCAGTCTTGTTTAATATATGCCCAAGGCAACACGCTTGTACACAGGTTCAGGATGTGCTCTGTGTGAGTGAAAGTGGCTCTTTTAAAGCACACTGCACTCCTCTGTATACTGCCCATCTGTGGAGACGATACAAGCAAAGCAGCATTCAGAAACTCAAAGTGGCACGTAATGACGGGATGAGGAAGCTGCTTAGGATGCTCAGGTGGACTAGTGCAAATCAGTTATTTGTTGGTGTTTGTGTCTCCACTATTTATGCTGCGTTACGTAACCGTATGTACAGATATATGTGGAGATTACATGATTCTACAAATAACATCATCCTGATACTAACGGATATTGCTCAGAGCTCATTTAGGTTTAAGTCAAGAATGTGGAACCATTGATGTTTCAGCCATTTTGTAAATCTGTGACTTACATTTGTGAGCTTTTATTTTTATTTTATCTTTTATATTATTATCTATTTGCTTTTGCATCTATTTAGGGGAAGTGGTCTGTGAACACTATCCATATACCCCCCCACCCCCCGGCAGCCATATTCCCTGTAAGTGATGGAGCAGTGTTTATCTGCCAGCTCGGTAGAGCTCCGACACAGGTTCATGTCCTTGGAGAAGGGAGTGGGTAGGGATGGGGGGATAATTTGAGATTGTCAACCTTCCAAGGTCGACGCGTGGGGAGCCAGGTTCAAGTCAAGTCAAGTCACATTTATTTATATAGCACATTTAAAACCGTAACTGTTATCAAAGTGCTTACCAAAAAAGATCACAGCATCAAATATTAATAACAACATATTACAGCAACATGAATAAAAGCATAAAAAGATTAAATATAATGAGAAACAATGAAATACTAAATCAAATCACCCTGCGTTAAATGTCAGGGAGTAAAAGCAAAATGGATGAACACAATCATCAACAACGAACTACCAAATGAGATCACACTGTGTTAAATGCCAATGTGTTCAGATGTGTTTTGAGGAGAGATTTAAAAATAAAGACTGAGGTGGCCTGTCGAATGTTGATGGGCAGCTTATTCCAGAGTTTAGGGCCCATGACTGAAAACGCCCGATCTCCTCTGAGCTTCAGCTGGTTTTTGGTACGGCCAAAAGCAGCTGGTCTGATGACCTCAAGGCCCGAGAAGGAGTATAAGGATGAAGGAGGTCGGAGAGGTATGAGGGTGCAAGGCCATTAACACACTTAAATGTCAGCAGAAAAATCTTAAAATCAACTCTGACATGCCACAGGAAGCCTGTGAAGAGAGGACAGAACCGGAGTAACGTGTTCAAACCTGCGAGTTCCTGTTAGTAGCCGAGCTGCAGCATTTTGGACAAGCTGGAGACAGATGGTCCAGATAGCACCATTTGTTTTGGGTCAGACCGAGCTCTGTTAAATTCCATCTGCCTTTTACAGTCTCGCTAGTACATCTCAATGGCAACTCCAAACAGCCAAATTGTGATCACATACGCGGAGTCTGGCTTACAACTTCTCCGAGACCTATTCCTTCCTGCCAGTGAGATTCAGGAGCCACAAGTAGCCCACAGTTTTCAGCAAGAATTGTGTCCAGCTTACAGCTCAGTGTTGACAACACAATACATTCCTTCACA